GCCCGGCGGGTCGACCCGGGTCAGGTACTGAAATTTCAAAATTCTGAAATTTTGGAACTTTTTCGAAGTTTTTATTAAAGGTGGTGTGCGGTGAAAAATTTTATTGCTTTATTTTGTGCAGAAATGCCATGTAGATTCCCATAAAAACAAAGAAAAAATTCCTTCAAAAAAAAAACGGCATCGAAAAGTAAAAACTCACATGTGGCCTACCGGCCAGGTGTAAAGCAATAAAATTTTTCNCCGCAAACCACCTTTAAATTTTCAGAAATATATCGAAGTTTCACATTTTTGTAGGGTGGATTATCCCCAGGAATGTTCTTTTTTAAGTGAAATTCAATCATTTTCTCTCAAAAAATACTAAAAAATCAGGTACTCGAGCCGGAAGAATTTTTTTCGACCTGTCCCGGAATTTGACAAGTATGCGTTCCGGAAAATTCACCGTGAAAAAAAACAATGAAAACGAGAAAAAAAATTTTAAAAGTTTGAATTCTCGCGCTTTCACTCACCGGTTGGCCTAGAAAAACAAACGAAAAAAGCTCGTTTCTAAGGGCTTTCAGCCTATTTTTCGATGCGTTTTTCTCATGAAGGAATTTTTTTTGAATGTTTTCTTTATTTTTATGGCAATCTAAATGCATTTCTGCACATTCTGATGCAACAAAAATTTCACCGTACACCACCTTTAAAGATTTGTTTCAGTATCCCAATTTGTGGATTATGTCGGCAGAGTGCCAAGATTCTACTGTGACTGTCCACCGTATCCGCCAAATTATCAATGGAATCAGTGTAGTCCAATGTATGGATAACGAATTTTATTGTTTTAATAAATTTTTGTTCTTTAATGAAAAATACTCATTTGCAAAACATAAATCAATAGGCACAAAAATGAAAAATATACATTTTCTTCAAAAAGTATTAACTGTTTTTCTAAATCAAATATCCGCAGTAACTGAATATTGTGCAGCGGAAGTGTTGGTTATGAATGTCACTCTGCGTCCTCGGCGACCTGAATTAATGAAAACAGAATCTCTAAAAATTTAAAACAAAACTCACAAATGACAACATCCCTGAAATCGCGAATCATAAAAATTGCAATGGTTGCGTCTAGCGCCGGATAGATTCCAGCATTCAAGCTGGGAGCATTTGCAAACTTTCCGACATTTATTGAGAACATTGGAAAGATTACTAGCAATCCAACAGGGGTAAACATGGTCAGAATTGGGACCATTGTCTGCAAAAGTTGAGACTGTTTTTTTTTCCTTTTTTAAATATTTTTTTTTGCCGTATCCGGAACAAAAGAAAACAATTCACAATGCTTCGAACTTTCCGAAAAATTTCCAAAAACTGTCCAAAAAAATTCCATAGCCTAGAAACCTAAATATATTCCTCACCTGAACGACTAAAGTTCTGAACAATTGGTTATTCAATTCCTTTGTTTTAAAACTCATTGTTGCTCCGACACTCTCCATTTTTCGAAATGTCAAAAATCCACAGATCAGTATGATCGTAATGAAAAGTCCCTGAAACTTTTTTCCATTTTTTATTCAATTTCTAAAGAATACCATAATTCCACAAATTCCAAAGCATGAAGCAAAATCTGAATAATTTATAAACATCTGACCGGATTCGTCGGGATACTGTAATTTTGGTTTATGTATATATTTTTGTTTTTTTTTTTGAATTTTTAAATTACATAATAAAGAACTCCAATGTAGCCAAGTTTGGAAGTTTCATCGTTGTAGGTTTCTCTAATTGGGATTCTGAAATTTTCAACTAATTTTCGATCCAAAAGATTTAAAATTTCAAAACTGTTTGAAAATAAATAAAAATTACTTCATGTACTTGGATTTTACATCTGAAGGTTCCAATGAAACATAAGCAATTAAAAACCAAATCGTTGAAAAAAATATAGGAAGTATAAAAAGTTTTAATAATTTTAAATCATCGAAACGGCTGAGATCAGAGGGTCTGAAAGCTTTTTTCTATTTTTCAAGCATCTGGACATCTGGATATACCGACAGATGGCGAGATATCTGTAAAAGAAATGAGTGGCCAAAAGAGATACGCATAGTCCAAAACTGGCACAATAGAGACATACAATTGGACGGGAAATGAATTTGTAGCTTTTGAGAAAACTGTCAGCATAGACAAATAGACTGGCTCCGTGGAGGTGCATAATCTGAATAGAGTTTTGAAAACAAAATTCAGTTTTTTTTTGAAATTCAAAACTTTATAAACTCGGAAGTTCAGAAATTCAAGAATTCGGAATTCAGAAATAATACGTTTTCAAAATATAACACTTCAAAATTTAGCCAATAGAATTGCATTTTGACAAAAAAGCTGTCCACTAGAAAATTGAAACTATAATTTTGTTTAGCATGCTCTGAACATGTTAGACAAACTGAAAATTTGAACTATTTTTGTAGGACTTCAAATTTGACTATTATCCAGTTTCAAAAACCTTTAGTTGCGAAATGTCTTGTTTTAAAACGTTCGATTTCAAAACAGGTAGTTGCAAAATGATGTAACTCACCGGCTGTGTCAAAATCTCCACAACTGCATAAATCACAGAAAATACAGAATAGGAAAGCATGACATATTTATATGTTCCTAATTTTTTGGCACCTTTTGTGATTATTAAGTACAGTAGCAACAATGTGGAAATTTCGGTAGCCACAAATCCAAAATATTGAGAAATTCGAACGATTAGAGGCATCGTCATCTTCTTTTTTTTTCTTGAATAGGATTATGACTGAAAAATAAACTAAACCTTAAGAAGAAAAAAAAGGGATTATTTAGTTCCTGTTTTTGATAAAGATAATGAGATGACATAAGCGTTCCTAATGACTATATTTTGTGACACATTTGTTTTTTTTTCAATATGTATGTTACATTACGGTATCTTTAATTAGAAAAATATGTCTAAACACAAGCACGGTGTTTCAAAGAACCTGCTCAAAAATCGCGTTCCAGAAAACTTTTAGACCAAAAGAATTTCGATAATTTCAAAGTCGACGTGGATATGACCTAAATATTGTTAATCAACGCGTCACAACTCGCGATTTTTTCGTTCATAGTTTAAAAGTTTGATCCTCAGCCAACGAAATTTGACACGTTGCGCAGCGATTTCTCACGTTCGCTGGGGCGCGTTTTCCGACCAGGCTCTTTGAAATAGCGTGCATAGACAAAATATTTTCGAATTTTCGTGAAAAAAGTGTTCAAGTTAAGAAGATATTAAGAATTCCATAACAGGAAATTCTCTAAATATATTTCTCCTGGTTTCCAGAACTTTTGAATCTGAAATCCTGAAAACTGAATAAACTTTTTCAGATTTTAGGGAAGTTCTGAAAATTTCGATTAAAAAACATTTTTTGAATAATTAAAAACAACTTTTTCGGTTTTTCATTTTATTTTGACAAACTGCTCAAAAAAACAGCGAAAAACTTCTGATCCAAAACTTGGCGTTCTAATTGAGTCCAATTGGATATCGTTTTGTAGATTTCTTCAAGTTCTACATTTTTCTTTTTTATTCAAACAGAAGTTTCAATTTTGAACCGAGTTACGCATTATTGAAAAGTGGGGTCAACAAATTTATAAAAACATTTATTTTCCAATCAGCAAGATAATTTAGTCAGCTTCACAGGTTTATAATTAACTACTCAAGAATCACTGGATAGTCTTCAAAACTTGATTTGATATTCCTCTTCACTAATTTTTGACCACGCTTGATACTTTGAAATCTCATTTTGACCACGCTTGATACTTTGAGTAGCTTCCGATCGCATGCTGACTTTTGGTGATCTCCGGAAGACAATGGACCAGTTTTTTCAATCCATTATGATGGGCTTGAACGAATTCGAAAAGGTCGCGAGATTCCTTAGTCGGATTCTCTTCTAGAGAACCCATGAACTTGTTGAGTGAACTTGCAAAGTTTCGAATGAACTCATTTATGTGAATGGCTTTCTGGTGGCACTCTCGAATGCTCGCATGTTTGCTTTTGAGGATTCTGGATGCTGCTGTTCCAAGTTTTTCGAGTTTGGGAGGTAGATATTCATCGTGTAGAGCCTTGAAAATGGTGTCATAAATGATAATTTGCCTTCAATTAACTAGGAAGTAATAAAAACTTTCTATCATCAATCGCAAATTGATTGAAAACAAAGTTTAAAAGTGATTCCTGAATACTCAGTGTCAACTTTCATATCGGACCGTTATTTTCATTGCGGACCGCTATTTTCACGGCGGACCGTTATTTCCTTTAGGGACCGCTGAAATCAGATAGAGCCAAAATTTCCAATGAAAAATTGGGAAATTTTTTTTGAATTAAAAAAGAAAAAAAGTTACATAATTTTTAAAATTATCAAAGTAGAAACTAGTCAAAAAATATAGAGTTTTTGATTAAAATTTTTGAAAAAAAAATCTAAAAAATCAGCTTCTTTACAAACAGCGGGCCGACCGGGCCGGCACTTCATTGGCTCGGCCCGGCCCGCTAAAATTCTCAACGGGTCGGCACACGACCCGGCCCGGCCCGTAATTTTGCAAGTATGTTTTTTTGTTCCCTTAGCATTAACACCTCCGATATTTGACTCATCGTTATGATTTCCCACAAGAAAAACTTTTTTGTCCTACGGTAGAAAAAATTGGTTGAATAAAATTAAAAAAATGCGGTAAACATATGTAGTTTTGGCGTTTGAAAGTCACAGAAACTATAATTTTTGGGAATTCGGTATTTTCAGAATTTGGTGTAAACAGGAATTAAAAAATGTTATGAGAATCTGGAATAGATAGTTCAAAGATTAAACTTGCAGCTTTCGAGTTTTCGAGCATTTCGGATTCAAAAAATTGAAGATTCTGAAAGTTTGAAATTTCAATTTTCCACGATTTTAGACCTCTTTTTTCATTTTAGCACTCTATTCTGGAAACCTGAGGATTTGTTATCTGAAATTTGCAGAAACTATAAACCAGATTTCAAAACTATTTGGAATATGGCTTTAACGAATAAGAGAAGCCTTCAAACTCCTGAAAAAAAATTGATGTTTCCATGGAAACAAGCAAACTGGGGGATTTCGAAAAACCCCATAAAAATTTCACTCTGTTCTAACATTTTCTCCCTTTTCCTCCCAATTTTTGCCACTTTTTTATTCGAACACCGAGCCGAAAAAAGAAAAAAAGAGCCTGACAAAAGTGAGCAAACAATGGCAAGGAACAGGTGGTTTTCTAGTTTGTCGATTTTTAGTTAACAATTTTTGTTAATATCTGTAATATTCTGGAATTTCTTTTGTTCTCTATCGTTTTTATACACTTTTGTCAATTTTACAACTAATTTTCGTAATTCAGAAAAATAGATAAATCGATTAAAAATAATAATTGTGAAACCAACAAGCGCAAATTTCGGGCACAAATCATGGAAAGCGTGATTTCTAGTCGGTCAACACTTCTATTGCAAAGCAAATCAAAAAAAAAAAATCAATCACCTTTCCGAATCTTTTTTCAATTTCCAAAAAAGTGAGTTTCCCAAAAAATGAATTTTTTAAATTCCAGTGTTCTTGGCTTCTTAATCATTTAGAATTTTCAAGAAAAAAGTCTCTTTTGCTTTTCTTACCACCAGATTTTCGACTTCCCATTGTTCAAATTCAAAAGCCTGCAAGATACATTTTCTACTTTTCACGATTATCCATTTTCCCTTATATTTTCCTATTTCCCACTTGTTCGATTTCTCCAATTTTCCAAATCTCCTCCCTTTCGAAAAACTTACGACATCCTTTTATTTTCAAAGTCTATACGATTCGAATCTTCTAGAATCATCAGAAACTTCAGGATCTCCGTAGCTTTCACCCTTAAAAAGGAAAACTACGAAAACGAAAATTCGAAGAACACAAATCACATAACCCAAAGATTGCATCGATTATTTTAGACCCGATAACACGCATCACCATACAACCTGTCTCCACTTGTACAAACAGAAACTTCCTTTTCTCTCTCTCTCTCTCTCTCTCTCTCTCTCTCTCTCTCTCTTTTCAATATCTTCAATTTCTCCTCTCCTTCTGTATAGTAAAGACAATTCCTCTTCCTTTTCCTACCGGGTCTTTCATCTTTTTTTAGGAATCTCTCGCTACCCTCGAGAGTAGCGGTACAATATTGACCGAACAAGGGGGTTAACACCGTGTTTCCGTATTTCTATGTCTCGAAGTTTCGTTTCGTTTTTTGAGACCATAGATCTTTATTTTTTATCGATTTATATAGATAATTTTTCCAATAGTTTATAGTTGTCCTTTTATCAATTTTGAGATATGAATGTTCAGAAAGTTCATCAATTCAAAAATCCGGAAGTTCATGTTGATTCCAAAAATTTTTTAAATCAACAAATCAAGAGTTCTAAATTATATTATTTAACAGTTTTGATATAAAATTCCATAATCGGAAATTCAGAAATACTGAATTTTGGAAGCTTCAAAGTTTAAAACAAATGTAAGGAATGTTTAAAATGCATGAGCTATAAATTACAGTAAGATTTCAACTATTCAAAACATTCATTTATCGATAATTCTGTACATTTCAATCTCACAAAATTTTAGCAGAGTCCCGAACTGAAAATCCGAAAATCTAAAATTTCGGAAGTTTTCGGGACTCTGCTAAAGTCAAAAAGAATATTTGGAAACGATTTTTTTCATTTTTCGGGAGACAAAATTTTCCTAATTTTTCCCTCAAATTCCAATCGTTTGAACTTCTTTTCATTCCAACTTTTCAAAGACTTCAATCACAAAAATGACATCATTTGCCCTCCTAGATTCCATTTTTTCGTTTTTCATTCATTCATTTACACTGTAAAACACAAAGACCAAATGTGGAAGACACAAATCACATAGCCTATAGCCTAAAACAAATCCGTTTGTCTTTTTTAGGGGGGAAAACCTGTTGCCAATTTTCCCACTATAGTCATCCCACTCTTTCATCTAGCGCTGCAACGCGTTTTTTTTCGTTTTTTGGTTTTGATTTTGTTGGTTAAAAATATAGTTAAGAAATTTTTTAATTTTCGAAAATTCGTTTTTGAAGTCCTGAGATTCAATTTATCTGGAAAGAGTCGTTTTAACAAATAAAACTCGAAAATTGTAATCCAATTCCATAAGTTACCAAACACTGAACTTCTGAATTTCAGAATTTCAGATTTTTTTGAAACTTCTTAATTTCTAAATTTCCAAATTTCCAAGATCAAAAGTCTCCGCAGAACTCTGATGCCGATTCTTCTTGAAAACTTTGCGAAAATTCTGTAATCTCCGACAAAAATCTTTTTACTCCTTTTGAAAATCGTATTTCTGAGGAACGAAAAACTATTGTAGTTTTCGTGACTGATCCGAAAAGTGCGATATCGATTTTCAAATGACAATCTCGAAATATTCCGATTTTGTGTTCATTTTACAAACGCCTTCAATGAATTTTGAAAAATCAAGATTTGGAAATTATTAAAATTGTTCTCTAGTTTTCGTAGTCTCTTGTTTCTTCAAATTTTCTGACTAATTCATGGTATTCGTCGAAAAAAATAAGTGGATTTTGGCGAATTCAAAAAAACTGTCATGTGGGAAAAAAGGAATAATTTTTATGACTTTCTCAGTTACTGAAATTTTATAATTTTATCTGTTTCCTGTAGTTTTTTTTGAATTCCGGAAATTCTGAAATTCTGAAAGTCCGAATTTTTTATATTTTTAAATTCTAAAGTTTTGATTTTTTACAAACTTTTAAAAACATATATTTTCGGGGTTTTTTTTATTTATTCCCGCCTTTTTTCCTCTTCAGAAGCCCCCAACAATCGTACTTTTCCTGGATTTTTCCTTATCTTTCCGATTTTATCGAATTTCATTACACTAGACAATATTTCGTATTAGTTTGTGTCTTATGACGCATTTAGACACACTTTATCGAATAATTTCATTTTTGGAAAAATCTTTAAAATTCTATGTTTTTTTTTCAAAGTCCTTTTTTAGAAAATGTAAAAATTTTCGAATGATTAACTATTGTTAAATTTAAAAACGATTAACTGAAATTCCGTTTTTATTGTTTTCTGTATTAATACACAATTTTTTTGTTATTCTTGAATTTGAAAATTGTAATTTAATTTTGAATTTTTAACTTTAATCTGAAAAATTGTTTATGAAAATTGTTTAATCTGAAAAATTGTTCTGAAGTTCTAAACTTTTTATTGAGTTTCTGCCATTTTGAATCCCCGAACTTCTTTCGGAAGTCCTATTTATTTTCAGATCACTTCCCCTTTTTACCTTTGCATATTAAATGTATTTTTAATTAAAACCATTTTCACCTGTTAGGCTCCGCCCCTTTTTTTTTGATTTCTGGAAAAATCAGAAATCTGGGTCACATTCTCTTCCGTACATACTTTAGTCTCCAGATATCAATCTAAAACATCAAGTCACAAAATTTTATACTTTCGGACACGGATTCTTGTCGGTAGATACAAAAATAGAAAATACTACGGGCAGACAGATTATATAGAGAATGGTCTAGTCGGACATATGTAGTTGTATAAATTTAAAAATCTGGAATTTGGGCTCCGCGCCACTTCGGAACCGCGACATTTCGAAAATGGTCATTTCGAAACTGCGACACTTCGAAACCGTTTCGAAAATTAGTCGTTTCGAAACTGCGAAACTTGCACGCTGCATTTTTTTTTCTTCAATTCAAGACTTAAAATTTCCAACTTTCAATTCCATTTTTACGTGACCTTGTTTTTTTTTCGGTTTCGAAATGACCGGTTTCGAAGTGACTGGTTTCGAAGTGACTGATCTGAAAATATTTGGGTTTTTCTTTGAACTTCTGAAGCTATATTTTTCCGAATTTTCGAAATCCTAAATAAAAATTTGCAGAAATGTTTGATTACGACTTGCCCAGCGTCAGCAGTTCTCCATCATCGTCTAGTCCGGCATCGAATTTTTCACCTGCGCCTTTAAAATTGAAAGACAAGTATAGAAAATCCGGAAAACCCTATCAATTTGTACCAAGTTCGTGTCAAGTGTGTTTTGGGAAAGCTACTGGACACCATTATGATGTGAGTAACTTTTAAAAACATTTTTTAAAAGAAATCAAAATTATTCGAAAAATATAGGATTTTTTCGAGAAGAACAGATTATTTTTTCTTAAAGGGGGCCAGACAGCAAAAAGTTCGGGGGACAGTTTGGGCGACGAAACCGCGCGTACGTAGGCCATCGGTTGGCAGGCGCCTTCGCGCGCCGTAGCATAAAAGGTAGCGGCGCTGTACCCCTGAGCTGTACAGCATGAGTTCAACTCCTCATGTGGGTCCTCTAGGCTAAATATCAGGAAAACTATTTTTTTTGATGCCTGGTCTCCTTCAAAATCTTTCTAAAATCAAAATTTAACATTTACAGGTAGCTTCTTGTAATGGCTGTAAATCATTTTTCCGACGAGTCACAATTGAAAAATTAGTGTATAAATGTGACAATCATATGAGATGCTACAATGATTTTAAAGCTGGGGGTGAGTTTTTTTTAATGAATTTTTTTCAAAAAATTCAAATTCTCGCTCAACACCGAATTCGAATTTTCTTTCCAGACAAAATTCCGAAATGTCGTGCTTGCCGATATAAGAGATGCGTAGATGTTGGGATGAATCCGTTGGGTATCCAATCAGAATTGAAAAAGCATACGGAAAATTTATCAATGGAAGAATTGGAAAGTTCTGGAAATTCGGAATTAGTAGTTTTGCCGAGGGTGAGATTTTATTTTGTAAAAGGTTATTTAGAAAATTGTAAATTTTTAATTTTCGTAATCCTGAGATTCTGAAATTCTGAGGTTCTGAGATTCGGAGATTCCGTGATTCTGAGATTCTGAGATTCTGTGGTTCTGAGATTCTGAGATTCCGAGATTCTGAGATTCTGAGATTCTGAGTTAATGAAATTTGAATTTTTTAAACTATGTTAATCTGATATTCTGAGGTTCCGAAATTCGGAAGTTCCGAATTTCTGAAAATTTGGAATTTCCAGATTCTGGATTTCTGAGATTACGAGGTTCTGAGTTTGTGAGATTTCAGAATTTTCAGAAGACTTTTGAATTCAAAAAATTGCAAATTCAACTTTTGTTTAAAAACAACTATTCTCATTTTTCAGATCCCAGACCCTCCAAAATCAATAGAATCTCAAGTATCTGATCTCATCAAAAATTTAGTACACCTGGATTTAAAAACCAATAAATTTCGAGATTGCTCATATAATCCTGTGGATTTTCCAACTCTTAAAGAAGCTGTAAAAGATGAAATATCAATTATTGGATATGGCGATCGGTTTGGGGTAAGTACGTTTTTCGGATATTGGAAAAAAATCTGAGATTCTAAGAATCTGAAACTCCGAAGTTCTTAAAAATTTATATATACAGTGCGTCCAATAATGATAAGACACCCCTGTTTTTGGTCATAACTCGAGAACGAAACAAGATATTAAAAACTGCAAACGCCAAAATTGAAAAATACTCCAGGACAAAAGTTATTAGTTTGGTCCGTGCGGTGAAAGTAGGTCAACTGGAAAATGTGTCGATTTCAACCGTCCAAAAATGATAAGACACCTTTCGAAAATCGTTCACTTTTCGAGTTTTTGAACAATTAAAAAACATTCAAGTTTTAGAAAAGATGTTAAATTTTGTTTTTTATCATGTTCAGTGTTTTTGCATTCCATACATATCACATTTGACCTAGTGTCGAGGATTTTTGTGAGGCAACACAGGATTTTCAGAAAAATGCTCAAAAAGTTCTGAAAACTACTCGAAATTGCTGGGAAATTCTCAGAAACATGTTTTCTAATGATATTTTCAGAATTATGATGCAATAGTTCCGTTTTTTCATCTGGAACGTTTTCTGGAAAATTCGTATTGAGGTGTATTCAAATTGCACTAAAAAAGTGAGGAACGCCTGGTTGTTCTTCAGAAAATCGGTATGAGCATCACAGTAACCTGCCACCCAATCAAGAATCAGACCCTCGGATGCTGTCTGTGTTGTTTCCAACGTTTTTTGATACAGCATCATGCTGTAGCCCAGGTAATAACTCAAGATGACAGTGCGCCTCAATACGAATTTTCCAGAAAACGTTCCAGATGAAAAAAAGGAACTATTGCATCATAATTCTGAAAATATCATTAGAAAACATATTTCTGGAAATTTCCCAGATCATTCGAGTAGTTTTCAGAACTTTTTGAGCATTTTTCTGAAAATCCTGTGTTGCCTCACAAAAATCCTCGACACTAGGTCAAATGTGATATGTATGAATGGAATGCAATGGAATGCAAAAACACTGAACATGATAAAAAACAAAATTTAACATCTTTTCTAAAACTTGAATGTTTTTTAAATTGTCCGAAAACTCGAAAAATGAACGATTTTCGAAAGGTGTCTTATCATTTTTGGACGGTTGAAATTGACACATTTTCCAGTTGACCTACTTTCACCGCACGGACCAAACTAATAACTTTTGTCCTGGAGTATTTTTCAATTTTAAGACGAATGGCGTTTGCAGTTTTTTAATATCTTGTTTCGTTCTCGAGTTATGGTCAAAAACAGGAGGTGTCTTATCATTATTGGACGCACTGTATATCGTGATTTTAAACTTGAAAAAATTGAAAAAAAAAAATATTTTCAGCCTATGCCCGGTTGGCCTCTGGCTCCAGAAGTAATTGAAGAAGCCAGAAAACCGAATCCAAATCCTGGTACTCGAAAAATTCTTCCAGCAAATGTGAAACGATGGCTGATGTATGATTTATTGACAATTGTAGAAATGGCAAAAACTTTTGATTTTTTCAATAAACTCAATGAAATGGATAGGGTGAGTTTTCTTTTCCAACGTTAACTAATTTTCAAGACTTTCAAAATTTTAAAGTAGATTTTTTCCTGTGAAAATTAAAAATAATTGTAATTTTAAAAACATTTTCAGTACTACCTGTGCCGGGATACCACTCTGATGGTATCAAATTTAACAAAAGCATATTTCTCTGTGGAAAATAAAACTGACCAATTAATTCGAGCCGACGGACAAACTTTGGCACCTCCTCCAAAGTGGTAAATTCTTGAAAAATTAAAACTGAAGTCTTAATTTATATTTTTAGGATTCCAAAAGAATATATGGACAAGTTACTGCTGGATATCATGAAACGAGCGATAAGTACATTGATTCGAATGAAATGCACAAAAATTGAATTTCTGTTGCTCAGAGCGATTTTGCTGTGCAACGCAGGTAACCTTTTTGAAAAAATTCAGAAATTCGAATGTTTAAAAATTTGAAAATTGGAAAAACGCAAATTTTCAGCTGCCCCTGACATCTCCTCTACAGCTCGAGCCATTCTTCAGACCGAACGAGCCAAGTATACTGTAGCATTGCTCAATTATACAATGGCAAATCACGGATTAGAAGGTCCCGGCCGATTTGCAGAAATCCTAAATATTATCGATTTATTGGAAAGGCAACAAAAAGATCAACGGGATGTAAACGTTTTTATTTTGTTGTACAGACCGAAGCATGTGAAACTACCATTGCTAGATGATGTGATGCTCAGTTTTTGTTGAAATTATTTTTTGTGAAAAATCGAGAAAAAAAATTACGGGTATTATTTCATGGCTTTCAAAATGTGAAAATAATTTGTTATTTGGGCAAAAAAAATGAAGTTTTTCTTCCATATTTCTGAGTTTTCCGTATTTTTCGTCAGATTTCTTGTGAGGTTTTCCACACTTTCCGTGCTTTCAGAAACTTTCCTACTCCGCTACTCCAGATCCTAAATTTTTTGTAGTTCAAAATGAAGAATGCTCGAAAGCATGTCGAAAATCTGGAAGACCCATTCAATTTGTGTTAAATTTGGACATTTGAAAAAAACTAGAAATTATGAATTCGCGAAAATTTTTTTTCCAGAGTTTCAGAAATTTGGAAACTCAGAAATTAAGAAATTGGGTTCTAACTGCTTCGTCCTGAAAAATTAGTGTTACTTTATTCGGAATTTTACCAAAAAGTGAACAATATTGTTTGTGTTCAGTAAACTCTGAAATTTTCTGACGAATCAAACAATTCCGAAATACTTTCTCAAGACTTCAGAAAATGACGATTTTCCACTGAAAGTCAAAATAGATATTTTTCAGTGTAGCTTACCATTTTCATGTGAAATTTTCAGAAACACGATCACTTGGGTTACTGTAGTTTCCACTTTGAATGATTTAGTTTTTACATTGTGTCTTGTCAAATTTGTTTTGGAAGCCACTGTCACAATTGGTTGGAATTCTGGACTCTAGCGTTCGGGAGTACATCGATCAGTTTTCATACAGCCCGTGGCTATCGTACCGCTTCGAATTATGATATCGGTCAGCGGCCCAACTTCAGCCACCGTGACTCAGCTGGTAACAATGCGGCACTTCCAACGGCGAACCAACAAGTTCAACTCATCGGCGGGCTTGTATAATATGAACGAAAGTTCGAACAAATTATTTTTCTATTGTCCCCTCCCCTATAACTCCATTCCAAACCATCCACCTTCACCTATACACACTCCCATCTTCCCCATTCAATGAAATAAACAATCAATCTCATCACCATCCTACGTAACCGTATCAAATGACACACTCCGCCTACCTTCACCAATTGTTTATGTATCGATTTTGCAAAATTTGTTTATACCGCTGAAAAGTGTCTCCCATTCCACACTCAGAGTGTGGAACTTCATTGAGACCAACTTATGCTACTTCTGCGGTTGTTGCCTTTGGGTAAGTCTGAATTTCAGTTTACAAAAGCTTCACCAAAGGTCCCGAACCTAAGATTTCTGAGCCCAGAACGCAGTCCAAAATGATGTCCAGAATCACATGATGTGTAAAATCAAAATCAAACCTATTTTTCAGCATTCCTTACCATCTGGCACGTACAGAATGCCACTGCTATATCCGATGGCGACCGTGATTTCCAAAACCAAATTTTGACAGGGTACAATAGCAAAATCAGACCTGTCAAGGCGGAAACTACAGTAACCCAAGTGACAGTGTTTCTGAACATTGCTCATGTGGAGAAAGTGGTAAGCTACACTCTAAATATGTCAGGTTTTGACCTCCATATGTCAAGTTTGAGCAACTGATAAAATGTTCGTAATTTTATGATTAACAATTGTAATTGACAACTTTTTTGTACGATTTCAAAAAAGCGAGGTTTTCAGGACGAAGCCGAGCAAACCGCACTAGTCCATGGTCACCTTTGGGCTTCATGGACCGATGAGTACCTCCAATGGGACCGCGCAAAAACCAATGTCACAAAAATCACTCTTCCGTCCCATCGAATTTGGCAACCGGCGCTTGCACTGTACAACAGGTGAATCAAGCAAAAGCGCTCTATTGTACAAAACAAAAATTTTGTAGTGCTCGAGGAAACACGTGGCACTTGTACATGGCTGGCATGCCCGCTACCGTATACTTCAACGGAAAAGTTTGGAGTAGTGGAACGTTTTCGTTCTTTGTCACTTGTCAATTCGATTTTGAGAATTGGCCATTTGACAAACAGGTCTTTGTAATAATTTTTTGTTGGAAATTTTTTCAAATTTTTAGAACTGTCCAATTGTGATCGCTGATTGGGTTTATGGCCTAGCACAAGTGAACTTGAGTGATCCAAATATGATTTCTGAGTATGCCAAACCATCGATTCGTCTTAGTTATGATCCTCTTGAAAGGAAGAATAAGAGACATGTTGGAGGTGAATTTTGGAAGAAAAATGAGTTTGATCTAAGAAAAATTTCAAGTCTCTAGCTCAATATTGAGCCAAGATACATTCGTTTGAAGTTTTGGAAGGAAGAGACGTAGACAACAAGACACTCTAACTGTCAGCGTCTCTCAGAAAAGTGTTGTGTTGTCTGCGTTTTTTCTAAACCTTAAATCGCTGTATCTCGACTGCTAGAAAAGCTAGAAGCCTGTACTTTGAGCACAATTATCTTGGTTCCTATGACAGGTATCAAAAATTTGTCGACTGATAAAATGTTGCTCATATTATGAAAAACATTTTTGTAGTTTGCAGATATTGAATAGCTCACACAGAAATTGAGATGGCTGAGCTCAAAGACACGCTAACTGCCGTCAGAGAGACGCAGACAGCTGGAGTGTCTCGTTGTCTGCGTCTCTCACCTTCAAAACTTCAAACGACTGTATTTCGGCTTAAAATCAAGCTAGAACCTTCAAATTTTTAAGATCAGATTATTTATTTTTTGACTTCCGATTAGAAAATATGTTTCAATTTTTACAGGTTGGGAAGTAATGGACGCTTGGAAGAAGCACTGCTATTGGGGACCCAAGGGATGTAAGGAGGATCAGCCTGAAGGCGAGCCCGATTGGTATTGGTCTCTTTTGGAGTTTGGAATCGTTTTGAAGAGACACCTACCGTACTTCCAGATGACTGTCATGATTCCAATTGTGAGTTTTTGGCAATGAGGGTTCAGAATCCCGACGTTTTCGAACTGCGGCTTTTTGAAAATCTACGATTCTGAATTTTCGACATTCTGACATTCGATTCTGAATTTTCGACATTCTGAAATTCTGAAATTCTGAGATTCTACTGAGTTTCTGTATTTCGAAATTCCGTAATTTTTAACTTCTGATATTCTGAGAATCTAAAATTCTAAGCTTCTGTAATTCTTAAATTGTGCGACTCTGATATTTTAAGATTATGATTTTTATGAAATTCTGAAATTCTGAGTTTTTACAATTCTGAAGGCTTAATGGAATTCTGAGAATTTGAAGATTTTGAGATTTCAGAATTCGAAAGACGCAAAAATGCAGAAATATTTTTAATTCTATTATTTTCAGTTCATCACCTCCATCCTGGTCCTTCTGGGTTTCTGGATTGAAAAATGTGCACTGAGTAGCTTCATCATCTTTTTCAACCTTGCTCTTCAAACGATTTACGGTTATAATATAATCAAAAAACTACCACCTGGCAGTGGAACGATTCCAAAAGTTGGTATGTGTTTTTAGAACAGATACAGTAATCCTTCTGGGATTTTTTCAGTTCAAATCTTCACTTTGAATTTGCTGCTCACTGGAACTCAATTCTTCATCGCTATCATGTTTGGATTCATCAAAGAATGGGCTCCAAAGAATTTTTCGTTCAATTTTGGAATCGATATCACGGATATTCCAAAACGAATGGGAATCGATACATTCTTCCAATCCAAGGGATTGTCGTTTGATCCACAAGAGTAAGATTCTGCGATTTTAGAATTCTGAAATTCTGTGAATCTGACATCCCTAATTCCGAGATTCTGAAATTCTTAAATTTTAAACTTGGAGGTTCTGAAAAGGAATCGAAAGTTTCTAGCTTCTGTAATCTTGAGATCCTGAGTCCTTTTTTTTTAATCGAAATTTTTAAATTTTGAATTTCTGAGATTCCATGATTCCATGATTCTGAGATTCCGAGATTCTGAGATTCTGAGATTCTGAAATTCCGGTATTCACTGAAATGCCTAAGTTTGCAAATTATGAGCTTCAAAGCCTTCAGAATCTAAAAATTCGAATATTAAAGTTTTTCGAAATTATGAAACTTAGCAGTTTTGAATTTTTTTTAAATCTTGATATGTTCCAGTTCTCCATAATTTTCTCTCTAATACGAACCAAAAATCACTAAAAACGGACCATTTTGAGCTGTGATACAACCATTTGAAATTTGGAGGTGAGAGACGCAGACACTCTCGTTTTTCTACGCTCTCGCCAAATTTCAAAGACGCATAACTCGCTTCAAAATTGAGCTAGGAAACAGATTTTTATTTAGTTTTGTAGGGAATCTCAAGAGAATTCTGACCATGTACAATTTGTAAAAGTTCTAAAAAATTCTATCCGAAATTTCAGCTTATTTGTCGATCATGACAAAATCGCCGCAGCGGAAGCTGGAGATGATACATCAACGATCGGAATTGGGAATCCATTAAATGATGACGAATTCGACCATTTCCAAAATTCTGCCACGCCATCATCCAATACGGATACTGAACTTTTGATCAATCTTCCAACCAATTCTGACCCCGAAAATGTGTTGGATTCTGAAAAAGTTGAAAACTCCGAGGAGCGAAAGGAAAAGATTCCAGAAGCTTCTATTGAAAATCAACTGGATCTTCAACTTCTTCACATCAAACGCTTTTTGTTCTTCCTTGTCGTTTTTATCTATTGTGTTGCCTTTTTGATGATTTTGTTCCTTTGAAACATTTTTTGAAAAAATTGTTTTTCCTTTTTTTTTATTGTAACAAATTTTCTTAACATAATCAAAGATTTATTTTCGTATGATTTTTTTTTGTTTGGCGCGCAAGCCCTTCTCACTGAAGTTGATAAATGAAGGTTTTTAAGAAAAAGAAGAAGAAAAACATGCGAAAAATAACAGAAGATGTATATTTTGAAATGAAATTGTCATTGTCATCGTTTTTTCTCCCATAGAAGACGTCGGAACGAATTTTTAATCAATAATGTAATCGGAAGAACCCTCGAAGGGTTGACGCTTTTGTTGAAGGACATGCGGCATGTTTTGCCAGTCGTACCTGGAAAAAGTTCAATTATTTTGAATTTGGAATTTTCTGAAATTTCTGAAAATAAAGATTTCTGAGTTTAGGATTTTTGGGTTTTTGAATTTTTGAGTTTCATGGAATTTATTGAAACTTCCCAATTTCTGGGATTTCCGAACGTCTGATATACAAATTTCGGAATTGTGGGATGTTGGAAATTTTGAATTTCTGAATTTATAGAATTCTGAATCATTGATTTTTCGGAATTTCCGAATTTCCGAGTTTATGAATTTCTGAATTTCTATTAGAATTTTGACTTCCCAGACTTCTGATTTTTGAATTTATTTTTCATTACAGAATTGGAGATTTTCGAAATTTTCAAAATCTAGGAATCTTCTGTGAATGAAAAAAAATTCAAAACAGCTGAAATTTTTTGAATTCATGAGAAACTTTTCAAAAATCATGTTTTTTCAAAAACTCAAAAAATTCAAAAGTTCAAAAATTCCCAAATTAAAATTATACAAACTGCAAAAATGAAAAAATGATTTTCAAAAAAAGTGACAAGTTTTGGAGCATGAAAAAGTTTCGAAATCGAAATCTCACATTGTTTTCCAGTTTGCTCCCATTTATCTCATTTTCTGTAAAATTTATCAAAAAGTAGTGAATTGATAAAATGTTTATCATAATCTCAAAAATATTTTATCAGTTGACAACTTTTTCATACCTTTTACAGGGGTCGAGATAAATTGGCTCAAAGTCAGGGAGTCAGGGACTAAGGTTACTAGCTAAACTTACCATTTTTTGGTGACCTCCAAATCATTATTCCACGTATACCACTTTTTCAATCTCATAACTCTTTGACGACTGAGATTTTTGATGGGGAACCAGGAGCACAGGTACTGTAGTTGATGAGCAATAGCCCCAACAGAATTGTCAGAATGGCCAAGTTGAGTGGACGGGACATTTCTGAAAAAAATTTTTCTGAAAAAAATTTTGAAAGTTAAAAATAATATTTTGAGGAATTCAAAAGTTTTTCATAACTCAAGAATTGTAATATTTTCTCCTAAAAAAAAAGTTACAATTCTGACCAGAATCTTAAGAAACTTCTAGAGATCCCACGACTACAGTAGTCTCTGGCATAAAAATAATGAGAAAAAAACGAAGAGAGTAGGAGTATTATATAAAGGAGTTCTGACGTCTTCATCTTCTTCTTCCTTTTCTCACAGAATACAAAAACCATACAAATTATTCATAAATTTTGGTACATGGATGTGGGAGGGGAAATGACTAAAAGTAGTACTTAGCCTTGATTAGATGGTTTTTACTAAAAATAGGGAAAGAATGGTCATCCGGGATCAACAGAGCTCGTTTTCTGCACTTTGGAATTTTCCGGGAAGTTGGAATTCTTCAAAGAACAGGACATCAAACAACACTTTGTCGATTATGTCCTCTAGTTATGTAGGTTCCTATGAGAGATATCAAAAAGTGGTCAACTAACAAGATATTTAAGATATTCTGATAAACAATTTGTCAGTTGACCACTTTTTGATATCTCTAACAGGAAAGAGGATAATTTGGTTCAAAGTTTGAAGACCCTTCTAATAGAGAGAAATTTTGTAGGGATTCTGTGGATTTAAAAAACTGGTGAAATTTCAACTAAAATGGTCAAATTTTTAATTGAAAATAGTCAAAATTCGAGGGAATATTAAGGGAAAGTTTTCGCATTGTAAAACTCTAATAAAATAACCCTCCTAACTTTCAACTTTGATCTGATTTATCTTGATCTGAATGATATCAAAAAACGATCAACTCACATTCGAGGGACCCTTCTAAAATAGGTTTTATGGTAGTTGAACCTCCAAAACTGTTCAAAAGAGGGTACGATGAATTCGAACGTTTCCAAAATTTAGCCTTGAATTTAGCCCCAAACCATCAATTTTGAATTCGAATATCTCATTTTCTGCGAAATATATCAAAAAGTTTTCAACAACAAAAATGAAGCTCTATTTTCATTTAATACATCCTGAGGTTCCGAACAAATCGAAAAATGTTGATCTACTTTTGTAGAACTTCAAAATTGATTAGGAAAAACACTGAAAACCGCCATGAAGGTAAGATGAATTCGAACGTTTCCAAAATCGAACCGACTTAAAATGGAACTGATTCAAAGCAGAACAGTGTCTTTTCCGAACAAGTATCAAAACAGAACAAGTACAGAATCAAACTGTCCCAAATCGGAACGCTATTAGCCGCCGAGCGCGGATACATTATTTTTCTTTTCTCATTGGGGGGTTCGCAAATTTTGAATTTGATCGAGAATTTGAAGAAAAATGCAAGCGCGCTCA